CAAGGTATCAGAAGAATGGGACCGTCAAGCTCTGACCAGGCTTCACTTCCACAGGCACAAATGCCCGATCCCGCGCTGGGATTGCCGGCACAAGGACTTCATGTTCCGTTGCCCTCTGTCTCCCAGTTGCCCCTAGGCGCCTCGACAAATCAGCTTGACCAGCTGCCGCCAATCGACATGCGAAGAGCGTCTCAACCTGCTAATCTGCCACGGCCTTGGAATCCGTCATACTCTTCGAGGTGGTCACAGCAGCCGCCAGCTACCGCACACCCTTCTATTCCGAGTAGGATGCCACAGAATCATCAGCAGGATGTGTTGCCACCGCTGCGTACCGAGACGATCACGAAGTCTCTTCCCCCAATAGCTGCCACTCAAAGTACTGGAGCGCAGCCAAGACTTGTGATGAGAGACAGCTCTTCTTCTCCTGAATCTCGACAGAGGTCTCAGTCCTCCGAGATCATGTCGTCCGTGCATCTCCCTTCACCACCATCGGTGCTTCGCCCTCTCTCGTCTCTCATTTCAGCCAGCCAACCCGGTCTGACAGGAAGGGTAAATGCCACAGCTACCTTTGCGCGCGGTGTGCAGCGATCAGGACCGCCTGCGCAGTTGGACGACTTGCGCATCGCGGAACCAACTTCTGCTCGGGTCACTCAATCCCAGCAGCTCGCATCAATGAACTCGACCATAGCTCCGACTGTCGCCCCATCGACTTTGCTCTGGCCTCCAGAAGCTAAATCATCTACCGACGCCCCGAAGAAGACGATAGGCTCTGCTCCTAAAGGTACATCTTTGACGCAGTTGGCAATCGCAGCAGCTCAAGCTGCACCGCTGCCACATCCGCAGTGCGACACGAGTAACACGTTGCCGTCTGCACATGGCGTCACGCTCCCAGTTGGGCCGCTCTCCAACCCCCCTAAAAGCGCGTCGGGACGCACACGTCGCCTTGCGTCTCTGGCAATTGCGACGTCGAGTCCTTCAGCAGGTGGACCAGCAGCACCAGCTAGCAAGTCCAAGGGCAAGGGCAAAGGCAAGGCGAAGCGACGTCGGGCTGAACGGTCCGAGTCATCGCAATCATCAGAAATCGGCGATGATGCCCCACCGTCGTCGTCGCACGCGAGTGCACTGAGATGGATGCCAGTGCACGTGGCAGGTGAAAGCCCTCAAGCTCTGACAGGAGGCTCAGCCGGCGGCTTGCATAAGGCCAGCACAGCGCCACAAGTGGAGACGGAGCGCGTGTTACCCTCAACTCATTCCGCCATCATGGAACTTTGCGAGGACTTACGGCAATCTCGTCTGCGATATGCCGGACGGCGGACGGAATTCTGGAACGATTACTTTGTGTGGTCAGGCAGCCTATCTGTTCAGAGCGGCTTGTTTCGCGATGCGAATGTTCTTTGTGAGGAGATGCGCATCTTGCACGGTAAAGTCTATCAGCAACTGGAAAGGTTTGAAGGCTTTCGAAACAATCATTTCCGTTTGATACAGGGCCTCTCAAGTGACTGCATCAAGCTTTGGGAGGAGCAAGATGCCTTTTACTCGAGACTGTCCGCACTGTTACCGATTGATCAAGTCGCAGGCAATGTGTCGATGACTGCTAGCGATGAGCCGTCCGCTCAAGCGTTGACAGGGACTTCTGAAGGTCAAAACATATAAAGTACTTGACATTGGCCGTTTATCCCTCTCCGACGCACATTTCTACCACGCATCACATCTCTCGCCGTCTCAGCATCTGAACACATACATTGCGCTTTGAGCGAAATTACATCATGCCTATTCCAAATTGCATCGATCGGCTTGACTTGGGCAAGAACGGCCGCCGGGTTGTCCGCCTGTGCGAAAATGGCTTGGAGGTGCTAGCGGTGCTTGACTCGTGCTGCCCGTCGATGTCTCATATTGTTCGCTTGTGGCGCCAACGGAAAGTTGACACGCACAGCTCAACGGCTCGAGCGAGGGTAACGCTTGATTGCGCGAACAACAGAGCAGTCGGATGTGGGCCATGGACCGTTGTTTATGAGACAACGGACAAGTTGCAGGTCCCTTGCATATCTTTACGCCTACTTGACGGTCGATGGCTCTGCTGGCTTTTCCGAAGCATGATTTCGTTTGCCACGTCTTCTTTTCGTCTTTCCTTTTGCTTCATCACCTCCTTTCCTCTGCTACTTCGATCGCGTTCACCTCCGACTTCTTTGCACATACCCTTCTTGCGCTGGTCGCCCAGTCTCCTTTCACATCTGCTTCTATTGCTGCTTCACATCTTTCAAGATTTGAGTTGACCGATTGTCACTCGCCTCGTTGTCGCCTCTTCGACTTCCTTTCGAGTGTGCTCTTGTTCTGTTGCGCCATCATCTACCCATTGACGTTCGCACAGACCGGTCTCCTTACCTTTCCCTTCCATTCCTTTCAAAGTTAGAAGAGGCTCGTCCCCGCTCGGGCAGATTTTCTGGGTGCTGACCCCATTCCAAAGTTTAGATGTCTACCCAGCCTCTTCCATCTTCCGTTTCGGAATCTGCAGAAATCCAGGCAAGCGCCCCACACTCGCGAAAGTCGACGAGCCCGGGCTTTGTTGAGGGATCGGAGTCCAGCTCTGGGCCAGTCCAAGAGTAAGTGACAACGGCCGCCGACTCGCTCACGCACCAGCAGGCCGGAGGCGCGACCGCCATCGGGCTTAGCCCGCACCCCTCTCAGTCTTTCAGTGACCTTCTCCACAGCTTTGATATCCCTGACGTCGACTCTTGGCTACCTTGGTTGAACAGTGAAGCAGTTGGACCTACACTACAGCA